ACAAATGGTTATAGGCCCCCAAAAGGGTCCAGACAAAATAATGTGGAAGAACTTTTATTAGGTACTAATTGATTTTATACACTTTTTCAGATAATAATTATATCCATTACAAGAAATACATATGGGGAGGCTGATGCTGTTTGCAATAGCAGAAATGTCAGAATAGAAACAGATGAAGTAAGCAATTATTAAATTTATGATTCATATATTTTAGTCAAAATACTGAATTGTGAACTATAAAAGTCTTTGTATTTTAGTAGCCACTATTAGAATATTTTCATCCTTGGGTTGGTAGATGTCTGGGTTTGAATAATTTCTTTGGAAGAGATTCTGAAGGACTTGTGATTTTGAAGTAATTGCTTCATAACTGAGAATGTTTTTCAGGCTATTTATGCGCTAACATATTGCATAAGTGCCTTGAGAGCAGGAAAGAGACAGAATTTAGCACTGAAATGCTTTTCTTCTCTAAAATTTTCTCCCTAGATCCCTTATCTAACTCCAACATAATGTGCCAATGCCTAAACACTCACAATGTAGATCTGTCAGACACTAGAAAACTTGTTTTACGAAATTAGGAAACCACTTTTTTCTTTTTAAAAAAAGCATTGCTCTTCAACAATGAGTTTTCACATTATCACATAAAAGTATCCAGAACTAAATACATGTATTGATCAAAAATATTTTTCTTAGACTTTCAATTCCATTAATAGTGTGGATTCTACAGTAATTAGAGATGAAATGAATTCCTCAACTCAGATTCAAAATGATATACCTTTGTACAAATATTTATTTTTTTATAACTTTACAAACACAAACACGTAATACATAATCTCATGACAGCAATACTTAAGAGTTCTAAGTGTTCTAAATAGGACTTAAAGTTCAATTAATAGACTTATTATAGTGTCCTTTACTGCTGATATTTTTATTTATGCTTTTAGATTGTTTCTTACTCAACAAGAATTTCTGCTCCCCAGGAATATTTGGAAGAGACTTATATATACCAATTTGTACCTTTCCTGGTTTAATTGTCATCTTAACAATTTAATATTTCTAGCATATTTTTCTGCTTGGTTTGTGGTCTAGACATAACTTACTTTTCTACAGCTTTGTTCTACTGGTATTGATGTAATTTAAAGGTAGCACAAGTCTCAAACTATGCATTTGCAATAAGAATAATTCTACATACTCACTTTCTTTAATCAACTTTTTATTCTCTTAGTGAACATATACATATAATTATAATAAAATGATGTTTCATTATTTTAATATGATTTTGTTAAGAGTTATTTTATTTTCTTACTATTGTACCTAGCCATGGTTCTTCTCACAGATTTTTTTATTCTTTCATATTTTCTCTTTTGAAAGAAGCAGTCCATATTCAGTGAAAACCATCTTCGCAGTGTTTGAGGTGACATAACATTAGACTTGTAGATTAATTTCATAGGTGTTACAGAATTCTTTATATAAAATTGCACATTGCTTTTTAGTTGAATTTCTTGTTGCATTCTATTCTCTTTTCTTCATGGCTTTCCTTTTCTTTCTTTTTTTACCCCTTTCTTTGCTCCTAGGAAGTCTTTCCTTTCTCTCTTTCTTTTTCCTTCTTTCACTTTCTCCTTCATCTCTCTTCTTCCTTCCTTCCCTCCTTCCTTCCTTCTTCCTATTCTTCCTTCTTTCTTTCTATTCTTCCTCCTTTCCCTTCCTTTTCTCTCCTGTCTGGCCTTCCTCTAACTTCTCTGTTTTTTGGAAAGGAGTATATTTCTACCACTTTACAAGTTAAGAACTGTATCTGACATACCTGAAATAAATTCTTAAAAATATAATGCCTATTATGTATGAGGTACTTAAATGTTAGCTATAATTATTTATAATTAACCCTTTTGCTATAGTTATTTTTTTATCTGGTTACTGGTTACTTTATCACATGGTCTTATCTATACTACTAATGTAGATAATGTGCTTGAAGAAGGTATCATCTGTGAAGAGCAACCATTTTGTTTTCTCTGAGTTGAACATGCTATTTCTCCTCCTTTTGTGTTGGAAGGACTAGTAGTTTTATGCTCTAAAATAACTGTCCTTGCTCTCTCTGCTCAGGTAAGAATAATGGGAAAAATTCTATAGATATTTTCCTTTGGTTGGTGTCACCTTCATTCAGGTATGGGTGTTCAGATGTCAGCAAATCCATTTAGTCTTACTCAGAGTTATGCTACACCAGTCAATGGTCTAGTCCACTACCACATGCCCATGATGCAGTATGACACAGTTACGATCCAGTTACCAGCCAAAGGCTCCACCAGTGAGCACAAGAATCTGTTGGGCGTCTTAGATATTTCAAATTTCTTTCTTTTTTCTTTTTTCCTGTGTTTTTAGACGGGTCTACAGGGTGTTCAAGATCTCACTACTAGATCAGACTTGTAGTGATTCTCCTGTTTCCAGCCTTCCAAGAGCTGGGATTACAGGCACGTGCCACCATGCCCAGTCTCAATGACTATCTCAGTGTACCCGGGGAGCAGGGCCAGCATGGCAGGCTAAATTTCTTGAAAGTATTGTAATAAGGATCCTTTTTGGTTTTTGAAGATTTAATTGAATGATTCTACTCTCCCATGTGAGTTCTCCTGTGCTGCTGCTTGCAGTGAAAAATGCAAGGAAATGATCTTAGCTGAAAAGAACTGATTAAACCAATCTCAGAAGGAGCAAAGAGATAAATATGCAGCATTATGAACTCTTGACATGTAGCTGTATACTTTTTACTATTTAATGTCCATTTGCAAATGACTAAAATACAAGCTTCGTGAATGTTTCTCCTGTCTATTAACTGGTGTGTTTTCTGTATCTCTAAGACCATGAACACCGTAGTAGAAAACTAGATGAATTTGGGTGATTCAATAAATATAAAAGGAATAATCATTTTGTTTTTATGGTGAATAGATGCTTCTTTGAGATGCTGTTAGAAAATATTACATAACGTAATGCTGTGGCTCTCAGAATTTTGATTCTTTAAACATTCTTTTCCAAGTACATTTTCCCTCTAAAAACTGACATTTTTAATTCTTAAAAATCTGTGCACATGATTTTATCTTCTCTATTCACGTTTATAAATTCACTCTATTCCAGTACTACCTTGCTATCTTATTATAGCCACTTTTTAAATCGAAATGGAATTAGAGAGGAAGAAGATATGAAGAAAAAAATATGGTCTCTAGGTAACAGCAATTTCTTTTCTTTTTTTTTTTCAGTATCTTATAAGTAATGAAGTTAAATCTTTCCTTCCTATTAGTAGATATGAGACAGGAGAGCAGGGCATGGCAAAACTGGCTGGGGATGCAGTACTGACCTGTTAATTACAAGATCCCATGTGCATACGCACGCGCAGAATCATTCCCAAAGTCTTACATGTTCACCTCTTACTAGAACTCCATCATGTTCTCAACACAATGGCCTCCATCTGCCATAAGGCAGAGAAGTGGGATGGCAGTACCGCCTCTTAGGACCTGTGTGAAGAAGATCTCACAGTTTTCCTCGAGATTAGGACAGTATAGAAAGAGACGTAACCCTGAAGATCTTGTTATCCTGTATTTCTCCAAGGTATCCTGCCCTGCTTTTTCACGGTGAACTTTCATTGTGTTTTCTTCCTTTACACGGCCTAAGCTTGCTCCACAAAGCCTGTTTCTCCTCCACTCTTCACGTTTACTTTCTTGTATAAACTTTGCAGCTGCTTTTTGCTCATTTCATTCAATTCTTTGTTTGAGAGGAAAAGAACCTTGAATCTAACTCCAGAAGGAAAACAACCAATTGGGAACCCAATAGCATTTAATTGGGGAGTCACTTTCAGAAGCAGGCCATCTCATAACAGATGCACTCAATTTCCTAAAAACATCAAGCAGAAGTTCTTAGAAAGACAGTAATAGTTCTCCAAATAAATATATTCAATTCCATGTGTATTAAGTCAAGTACAAATGATGCTAAAAGAATCATTTTATTTTTAATGTTGTTGTATAAATTAAAGAGATTATTTTTATTTTTAAAATATTTGTAATGGAGGAAATAACCTAAATTCAAATATAGTGACAAATAAATGTGTGTTTAAAAAAAGTGGTTCCGTTGGGACTCAGTATTTAGGCATACTGAATTTTGTCTGCTAGTGCTCCTCTAAGTGTCTAAAAGGGAAAAATGATAGGAAGTGATGCCGCTCTTTGAGGAGTATTGGAAATTGATGGAAAGAAGCATGGAAGATTTATCATTTATCATAATTAATTTATCTATCACTGCATAACAGAAATTATGCCAGAATACTTCCTCCTAATTTATCCCGTTTCCCCCTTAATTTCAAAGCAATACAGAAGGAAATACGACATTTTCAAACAATGTTGCATTGATTTCTTTACTTTATGTCAGAAATTTTGTGGTTATTTACTGGTACACCATGTTTTAAAATGAGAAATGAGTTATTGAAGAAGCTAGTGCAAACTGTAACTTCCATTTTCTTTCTGAAAGCCTGTGATTCAAAAACACTATCTGGTTATTCATCTACATTGCTGTCAAATCTTAACTCAGAAAGCTAGAGTTCATATTTTCTCTGCTCTCCTGTTTCTGTGACTGAATTGCCACAATTCTCCTTCAGTTTCACAGAAGAAATGCTAGATGTAGACTCAGGTATTAATACCGATCCAATCCCTTTAAATTTACAGAGGTATTTTCTTGTGGGATGGTCTAAATTTTGAGGTCTTGGGACAAGATGTACTTAAGGTACACAAAAGAGAGCTGGGAGCAAAGCTTCTTTTAAAAATGTGTATTTATTGGTTTAAGAAAACTTAGTTTCTAAATAGTAACTCCCATTTTTAAAAATGGAACATGCTGAAAACTTCAGTAGGAAAGCATTTTGAAGTTATTATTAGACGGAAGGAATATGGGGTGGAGTTGTTCTTAGAAAAATGAGATCAGGAATAAAAAAGGAAGTCATAAAAGCATATATTTATTTAACTCTGCACAGTTCCAGAAAACTGGACTGATTTGAAGAAGCAGAAAAGCAAAATGAATGAAGTAAAGCTTGCTATCATGGGCGGGGAAGGCACAGGAAAATCTGGTGAGTGGTGATGTATTTTTTGGGATTTAATAGTGTAAAATGAGTAAGAAAGTTATTGATATATTAAATAATAACCATATGTAACTACATATGTTCAATAATTCATTCTGTGGGATGATATGCACATTATTTTTCAGCAGAAATTTCAATTTCATAGAAATCTTCAATTTACTCATGAATGTACAGATAGCAAGATGACTAAAATATTAACTTGCATCTTATTCCACTGATTGTTTTAATTTTCATTTTTTACATAGTACATGTTTGCAGTAACTACAACCATAATAGTGGGGTGGGGTTGTACATGTACATAATGCGTTTCCATGATTTTTTTCCTCTTTCCTCACCTCTCCTTGGTAATAGTTAAAGTCAGAAGAATTAAGAGTAATTATCTTCATCGCCATTCTCAGGTACTCCTCATTTCCATACTGTACCCTGAGAGCCACCAGGGGCCCAGCAATTGCTTTGAGAGGATTATTCTCTTCTTTAGAATAAGGAAGAAAACAGGTGTGGAGATCTTGTACAGTGTTTGAAGTGCAACACTGCTGAGGTTAAAGAACCCTGCAGAGACATAATCTTCTGGATATCTTGACCATGAACTCTATGTGCTCTAATTACGGAAGCCATGGTTTAGTGTGCTTTAGATTTGGTTTACTTTCCTTTTGTTTAGGCCTTATTGATGATGAGCATATGACCAACAGAGCATGTTAGCCTCATGAATGAGAGAGATCCTGGTAACAAGCCAGAGCCTTGAGGTCCTTATCACTCTCACATTCAGTACCTTGGAGCCAGGTTTAATTGGACAGAGGAAACAAAGGATATAATAGTCTTGCCTTTAAAATGTAAAGGAAAATATCAGTATTGAGACACATAAGGTGCTTTATGTGCTTACACTGCTGAGTTAAATCCAGGAGGTAAATGTGTAGACTTCCAGGATCATATATTTTCATCTCTGTAATCATATGGTTGCAGTCCCCGTAGAAACAGTGTTTACTGTCATTTAGACCAAGGTTTAGTGAAATGTTAAGGTCTTGATGAATGTTTGGTGATTCTTGAAAAGAAAGAGAAAGTCTTATGTATGTAACTAAAGTATCTGTATTCTAAAATAAAATAAACCTTAAATTTTACTTGTTTTTAGCCCTGACTGTAAGGTTTCTCACCAAGAGATTTATTGGAGAATATGCTTCCAATTTTGGTAAGTAATTTCTCTACTCTTTTTTTGTCTTAAAATTTCAACATTTTTATCAAATCCCGATGAAGTTCAAAGAAGAATTTTAGTAAAATCTTCAATTTTTTGTACTTAACAAGCAACTTATTAATGCATAGATCCTGGTGTGAAATGTCAAACTGGTACTTGAGTTGAATGTTCTTCTAGATAAAATTCAGAGACTGAAGTGAAGTAGTTTCAAAGTCAAATGTAGGAAATATTAAAGTTTGGATATCTGTCCTAAAATATTGCAAAACATGCATGTGTGACTACTTTTATAAGTTATGGAAAATTTTTAATAATAAGATTAATATCTGTTGAACCATGAGGAAAAATTAATTCTAAAGGCACAAATAACTTCCAAATAAAACTTTATTATAAAACTAAGATTAAAGAAAAATTGTGCCTTGGTTAATGATAATAATTTAACTTGATTTATAAACTTGAGAGAAATTCTAATAGTCTTTGAATAATTTCACTAATTTTATACTTTATTTATTTATTCATTTTTGTATTTTAGGGAAGGGTCTACAGGGTGTTCAGTGTCTCACTACTAGATGAGACTTATAGTGGTCCGCCTGTTTACAGCCTCCCAAGAGCTGGGATTACAAGTGCAGGCCACCACGCCCAGGCTCAGTTGCAATCTCAAGCCCTAGAGGCAGGGCCTGCACGGCAGGGCAGGGGATCAAACCCTGGCCCCTGCACCTGCTTTCAGGCACTTTAATCTGCTGAGCTATTTGGCTGGCCCTCTTTATTGTACTTTTATTATTATTTTGATAAATATTAGTTTTCTACATGAGAGATAATTACAGCACAAGTGCAAAATTTTGTCACAATTTTGGGTATTTCTTTTGCTCAGTTATTAATCACTATTATAGTATTATTACTTGATGTGATTGTTGGGTTGGTGATACACGATCCTTTTCACTACTTTTAAAAATGAGAATGACATAGAAAATATGAAATCTCAGAGAAAAAAATCACTTTGCATTTAATATTACCTATTTCAAGTAAGAAATTAATGTTTGCAGGTGTGTTTTTCTATGAAAGGGAAAGGAGAAATAAATCTTTAACACTTACCCATAGAGTAATACTATAAGAGAATTTCAGAAAATAACTTTAAAGCATTCTGTTGCATTGTTTCCTGCATGTAATTGACATAGAATTTCAGTTCATATGACATTTTTGAACACTTTAGGGCAAGTACTTGAAAACTGATTATGGAAAGGAGAAATATATGAAAAGAGAACTACCTAGTGTTTCATTTCTGGGAGCAAAAACCTCAGTGACAGGGTCAGAATAATACATGAGTTAGGACTGAGGCATTAGAACATATTTCTAACTACAAATGAAACAAAACATAAATAAAAAATGTAATATCCCAACAATAACAGCAATAACAACCTTCACCTTAATCTTTTATACAATCTAGTTATACAAACAAATGAAATGTTTATACACTTCTAGCTGTTACATCTCAGTGGAAAAAAAGAAAGACATTTGAGACCTAGAGATATTTTGAAAAGATAATACAATGATGCAAAGGTCATTGACTCTATGAAAACAAAATCAACTCCATTTTGTAAGGCTAGAAGGGGAAATAACATCATTCTTTGATAATTTGAGAGTTGATTACCCTTGCCAGCAGTTTTCTGAGAGCTGAGGAGGTATACTTTCCAACGCCTAGAAGATTTTATGGTGCAGAGTCAAGAGCAAACAGAAAGTTTAGGAGAAACTTCGGAAATGTAATTTACGATTTTATCAAACTACCACAAGGACCAGCAAGAAAGCTCAGCAGACTAAGCACCTGCTTAGGCAAGAGCAGGGACTGGGGTTTGATCCCTGGCACTACATGCCACACATCCCTGCTCCTCCACTTCAGGCTCCGTGGGCCAGCCACTGAGACAGGGTGTGGTGGTGCATGCTTGGAATCCCAGCACTGGGGAGGCTGAAAACAGGAGGATCACTATGAGTCTGAGCTGCGTAGTGAGACCTTGTACCAAATGCTAAAATATTAAAAACTAATAATAATAAAATAAAAGACTATATGAAATCACATTACATGTAATCTAAAATATTTAAAAAGTCAAGCTTAATCCTCTTGGAAGACATTTACTCCCTAGATACCTGTTCTAAATTCCTGCTCTTACAGAGTACTTATTAGCATGAGTCTTGATTTTATAGTAAAATTGCTATTTTGTGGAGAAGTGGGATTTTTTTCATCAAAACACTGGTTATAGAAATGAATTAATTTGTTCATTCATTCAATTACTATACAGTGAGGAACAATGTTATTTAATATATTCCTTTTTGGTATAGATGTTATAGCAGTGAGCCAAAAGGTGAAATACCCAAATCTTCATGCAGTTTTCAGTTTGGAGGGATGGGTCTGTCACTCCAGACTCACCTCAAAACAATTAGAAACGCTTATGTAACATGATGACAAATGCTATGAAGAGCAAGAAAACAAGAGATAGGAAGTGTGGTGAAATGATATGTGTGACTTAGAATAGGAGAGTTGGGAAGATCTTTCAAAAATGGCATTCAGAGACCTGGTAAAGACAGTTACAGAAGTATCTAGGGATTGTAACCCAAAGCAGTCTCCTGTATAGCTGCCAAAGTTTTGAGGCAACAAGTTTCTGAAAAAATTAAAGACTGATTCAAACAGGAATGTAGATGGGATACAGAGAGTGTGAAATATAAGCTAGTGAGATCTGTAGAGTGGATTGGAGTAATAGAGACAGGCTGGTGTTTATGAGCGACCCTTTCAGATATTTAAAAAGTTTTGGTTTAATCCCAGAAAGATGAAGAGTGAATAAAACAATTTGATTAGACATTTCTCTGATCTGTTTACAAGTGTACTTTTAGCTTTGCCTTGAGAATAGAGTAGGGGCAGGAAAATAGGAGGTTTATTAGGCAAGAAATACTGGTAACTTGGACTAAACTATTACCAGTGGAAGTAGGGAGATGTGGAAACGTTAAACATATACCTTGAAGGGAGGATAAAAATGGAATTTTAATAGAATAAATGTGGGTACAAGAGAATGAGAGAATTATAGAAGGTTTTGAAGCTTTTGAACTAAAATGTTGGATTTATGGATATGACATTTAAAGAAGTGGGAATCTATGGAAGATGCAGCCTTTGCAGGCAGTAGGGTGGTTTTAACTGTGGTAAGACAGAGATGCCCATCACATATCTAAATGGAAATGGATATTTCCAATGACAAGAAGGTGTCCATCTGGAGTCTGGGGAGGTGGTCTTGGTTATAGGTGAGTTGGATGAATCAGAAATGATTGGTCTATAAAGGCATGGAGTTGGTGAAGTCAGGGAGTGAATATAGATAGAGAAGAGATCTATGAACTGGGTCTATGTCTGAGGGGTGGGAAGGTATGTGACGTGAATTAACAGGTTGAAGTAATGAGGGATAAAATAGAAATAAACAGGAGACTATAACACTGGAATCCACATATTCAAGGAAGCAGGAATGATCAACTGTGTTAATGTCACCAATAAGGCAAATAAGAATGAGACAGAAAACTGAATACTGCATGCAATTATAGATGTTAGGAAAAAAAGTGACATATTTGTAAGATGTTGGTAATGAAATATTGTGAAAGCAAAGGACAGGCAAAACTATTGAAGTAATGTTTTCAAATAGGTTAGAGAATGTCATTACCATTTGGGAGTAAATAAATTGTCCATAAATAACAACACAGATACTTCATCCATGGCAAAGGACGGAAGTAAGAGAAAAAACTGTAGCAAAATTCATTGGTGAGAAAATTATCTGAGGAAAGAGCAACATGGATATGGTTTTGGTCATTGACAATGAGGAAAAGTTACTATTACACTAAAATATGGCCAGTTGAATTTTGTAGGACAGGAGTACATTTTTTATCATGGCATTTTTCCATGTCAATGGTGAATAGATGTTTTTATATTTTGCAGAGTCTATCTATAATAAGTACTTGTGTTTGGAAGGGAAGCAACTGAACTTGGAAATCTATGATCCATGTTCTCAAGTAAGTTAAGAAAAAAACAAACACTTCTATTATATTTGATTTCCTTGACTATGACTTGAAGAAGACTAGAAAAGGGTAAGGAAAACATTGCCAGTGTTAAAACTGAAGTTTTTTGAATTGTGATTGTTAAAATGTTCAGAGATTACTTTTTGTGGTATAAATGGTGTTATTTGACTTTTCTGTAAATTTATGTCAAAATTATTCTATCATATCTACCTTTAAAATAGTAATATTAAGTTGGATTTTTATTAGGTTATAATGTAGTTGTCAAAAAATCGTAGTTTAAAGGCTTGCCAATTCAAGTTGTATGTTCAATAGCTTGTAAGTTGTCAAAAGAGATTAAGATAAATTTTGAGTACAAACTTCTGTGTTCATTCAAAATATTATAGTAAAGTAAGATTATATATGGTAGAGAAGAAATTGTCAATTGTCTAAGATTTCAGAAGAAAGCAGATTGTCCAGGTCATTCTTGTAGTTGCTACACTGAAGAGGTTGAGGCATGAGGCTGGCAAATTAAATTCCAATGTAGAGATTCATAGTGAATTCAAAGCAAACCTGCACTACATAGAAAGAACCAGTCTCAATCATTCAACCAATCATCGATCACACAATTTTCTAAGACAGTTGTTTTTAAAAAAAATTTTGGCTAACCCAGATAAATATTTCTACTTTCATGGATTTAAAAGGTGCAGGGGCCAGGGGTTCAATCCATGGGCCTGCTGTGTCAGTCCTGCTGTCGGGGCACTCTGAGATGGCAATTGAGACTGGACACAGTGGTGCACGCCTGTAATCCCAGCTCTTGTGAGGCTATAAAAAGGAGGATCACTACGAGTCAATCTAGTAGTGAGACCCTGAACATCCTGTGGACCCTTCCCTAAAAGACAGTAAAGAAATAAGTAAATAATAAAAAAACTACACTGTTTGTGAAAATAAAACCATGCAGAGGCAAAAAATTTCAGCCAACTGTCCCACAGCCAAAGAACTTCTATCTAGATTATATAAATAATTGAAAAAGCTCAGGCCCTTCAAATTCAAAGATCCAATCCAAAAATGGACATCTGGGATAAATACATGCTTCTCAGATGAATTCATACAAAAGCAATTAAATAGATGAAGAAATGTTCAACATCATTGGTCATTATAAAAATTCAAATTAAAGCAACACTGAGATTCTCTTAGTGCAGAACAATGGCTACAATCAAGAGATCAACCAATACATGTGTTGGCAGTGCTGTGGAGAAAAAAAGGGAACCCTTCTCCACTGTTGGTGGGAGTGTAGACTCATGCAACCACTGAGAAAATCAGTGTGGAGATTCCTCAAAAAAAGCAGGATTAGAGATTTCATTTGACTCAACAATTTCACTTCTGTGTATTTTCCCAGTAAAATTCTAAACATTGTAGAACAGCAATATATGCATACCCTTGTTTATAGTGGCGCAATCTGTCATGGCTAAATAGTGGAAACAAGTCAGATGCTCATCAGCTGAGGGATGGATAAGAAGGATTTGGTATTTGTACACAATGGAGTACTACTCAGCTATAAAAAGGGATAAGCATTCCATCCTGGAGCCTGCCATGCTGGCTCTGCCCTGCAGGGTGCTGAGACAGCAATGGAGAATGGGAGTGGTGGCACGTGCCTGTAATCTCAGCACTTGGAAGACTAAAAACAGGGGAATCACTAGGAGTGCAATCTATGCAGTGAGACCCTGTACATTCTGTATACACTGTCCTAAATACATAAAAAAGGGGTGTGTGGGGGATAAACTTGAGGTTTTATAGGTAAATAGATGTAACTAGAAACTATACTTATAAGTGAAATAAATCAGGATCACATGTGTAAACCCTCTGGTGACTCCCTAGCGTATGAAACTAAAAAAGTAAATAAAACCCAAATGTACAATAGGTATTACAAAAGAGAAAGAAACTGCTCAAATGGAAAGAACAATTGGGATTGAGGAAAAGAGAAAAGATGGAACAGGAAAAAATATATATACAAGATAGCCAGGGTATTTATACTATTAATTTCTATTAGTTCATTGAAATGAACAGTCTATACTTATGTTTGATCAATTTTACATTCCTCTATCTTGAAATCTGAGAAATCACTTTTGGCACAGTAAAGAGACAGGAAATATGAAAGAGGCCTTTATTGTGGGCACCAGGAAGACCGCAGAAAAGGAGACAGTGGAGCTTCTGAGGACCTGACCAGGAGAACAAAGGCTACATAGGGCCAGGATGGAGGTGGGGTTTTTGGGGCAGTCTGCATGACGTGGCAGATGGTGATTGGGCAGGAGATAGGAACAAGGAAATAGGAGATTGTGAAAAGGAAGTAGGAAGTTTTAATTTCATCAAGGAGGAGCAAGGTGGAACATAGCACACAGCCTCCAGTGGCAGGTGCCATATTGGCTCACCAATATGATGACTTAGCTGAATTTTTTATTAAAGTGGATAAAACCCACCAACCTCAAAGATAACACTATGCAATCTACTACATTGTTAACTTCTTATTATCTTGTTTTGAAATTCTATATCATTGTTTTTATTTATTTTTAATTTAAAAATCACTCTTTGGCCTTATTAAATTTCTTCTAGGTAGACATGTCTCCATTAATGAACTAATGAAATTGTAAAGTACTGGTGCCTGATTCCAGCACTTTACGTGCACTTTGTTTATTTTCAGTCACAGAAGGCAAAAGTTTCCCTTACAACTGAGCTTCACTGGGCAGATGGGTTTGTTGTCGTGTATGACATCAGTGACAGATCTTCGTTTGCTTTTGCAAAAGCCCTGATATACAGAATTCGGGAGCCACAGACTAGTCATTGCAAAAGGTAAAATATTTCATTCCTTGTCCCTTTGCCTTTTGTAAATCATCATGTAGCTATAAGCATCATTAGGAAGAATTTAATACAGCCTTCCAATTACAAAATTTAACAGCCCTGAACAATTCACCTTCCCAATCCGCAGGAGTTACACATGTAGTAAAAGGAATAAGATGTGAATGCTTTATATCCTGGCTGACATAAACAGTTACTCGCCCTGAGTAAATGGCCATTTTATAAGACAGCTTCTATTGTTAACACGACACTCACTTGCAAAATAATGATCCTCTGTGTACAAGATATAGGTTGCTTTCCAACCTTTCCTTTTCATTCTCACAAAAATGTTAAGGATAATAAATGAATCCAGATTTATTACAGTTGGCACCCTGTGAGTTCATTTCTTAGTCACTGGGTTGTTCAGTATATCACAAGGTAGACTGAATAATCAAACCATTTGCAAATTCTAACTACAGACATACATCTTCCTGCATTTCGCCCCCTAAAATAAAGAGATGGTCAACAATTCTTCATTAATTGTCTTGCGATACAGAGTATGAAGCAAGATACATTATCACTGTGCCTTAAACAATGTATTGGTAGATAAAAATTTAATCACCAGAGATTCTCATTGTTTAGATTTTCCTGTTTTTTTTTTATTTTTGTAAAATTTAGTTTTCCAGATTTCAAGTATGTTTATTCAAACCTCCCTTAAGGAATTCTTTGTAGTCTTAATCAGTTTCCTCTTTCAGTCCAAAAAAATACTCTAATAATGTTCTAAAACAAAAAAGCACAGTATTATTACTACAAATTAACACATGCATATTTATATCTGTCTTATGTGCTCACTATCAGGAAAACATGGATTAATAATTGACAAAAGGTATTTCCCTGGAGTTACTTGAAATACATTCTCATGTATGTGTATCACAGGTAAAATGCTATGGTCTTCAGAGTTCTGCTTTCTGATTATATACTTGATGACAGCATGGTAGAAAAAGACTTCTGTACATTTACTGACATTTGTTTCATAGCTTGCACATCCTGTAATGCTGTTCATTTTTTAGAATTATATTTTTGCAAGCTTCAAATCTCATCCATGTAACACTATGACAAATATTGGGTATGGAAACAAAATTCTTTGGTACTCTTTCAAATAAAGGTAGCCACTGAAGAACACTTAAACATACTCTGAAAATATGTCACTTACATTTGACATTTTAAAAAGCAATCTCCTTAATTTACTAACTAAATAAGTTCTAGAAAATTTTCAGTTTTCAATTTGTAGAAAGGTTATGAAGGTACACTGTGATATTCTTACAAAATTTTATGATATTTGTGGCTCATTCTTTAAGACATTTTCACCTCTTCTATCTCCTTTATCCTTTACAAAATTCCACAAACTTGATTGAAAATGATATTGACTCTGATCAAACTGTCATGTAAATGAAAATAACCTTTAATGGACTCTGGTGTCGGTAAGAATTAAAGATCCTGTGATTACTTATTTCTTCCCTATAGTAAATATTATGGTAGTTCTGTAATATTTCAAGGCAAGTATAGGTTTATGATAGTCTTCAAATTAAATTCTATTGTTTAATTGTTTCATTAGAAGCAAGGAAAACACATTAGGATAGGCAGAACACAATTATTATTATTTTTTTAAAATTTAATGTATTTGGTATAGGGTCTCTCTACATAGCTTGGACTTATAGTGATCCTCCTGTTTTAAGCCTCCCCCGCACTGTAATTACAGGTATGTGTCACCATGCCTGGACTTGGTGGCCGGCTCAGTGTGCTTGGGGGTGGGGCCAGCACAGCATGTCCTGCCATGAATCGAACCCTGGTCCCTGGGATTGCCTAAACAGGTGCTTAGTCTACTGAGTATCTCACTGGCTCAATAATTGTCTTGACAGAGAAAAATTTTTCTTAAACAGAATAGTTGTACAAGGTCAGGAGATGAAAAATTTTCTCTGCAGAATGTTATGATTTATATTAGCAAGTAAAAATTCAGCAATGAGTACTGAATATTTTTGCTTTGGAAAAGTCCGTCTAAATTAACTGTTCTGTTACAATTAACTTGTAAGAGACATTTGTTAATCCTCCTTTCACAAGGGATAAGGAACATAAAAAGTAATAGTAAATATCTTTTACTTAAATATGTTTCACTGCCTATCATTGTACTAGACAGTTTTATACATATGATTTTAGTTAATATCTGGGAATTGTCTGTGATGAGGACTTATTTAGTGTTTTTTTAAATTAATTGAAGATTTGAAATGTAAGAATCACCCCTGGCTAGCAAACAAAGTCAGAACCCAAGAATGTGTGTATGTCATTTCCAATCCTAAGCTTTAAATCCTTGTCTCTTCTGTGCTGTTTGCCACATTCTCCTTAAAATCGTTTTTGTCAGTAAATGAGGATGTGTCAGTACCTGTACACATGGCCATAAATACACATACACACTCAAGGACTTTTCTTCTTTGATGTATAGTCCTTGGGATACAAGTCTTCCTGCTTTTTTTTTTTTTTTTCTAAAAACATAGTCATTGAAAGGATCTTGGCAAAACTTGTGTCTCTGTATTTCAGAGCTGTCGAGCCTGCCGTGCTTTTGGTTGGCAACAAGCAAGACCTCTGTCATGTGCGTGAGGTTGGCTGTGAAGAAGGACAGAAGCTGGCTTTGGATAACCGATGCCAGTTCTGTGAGCTGTCAGCTGCAGAGCAGTCTCTGGAGGTAGAAGTGATGTTTACCAGAATTGTCAAGGACATTCTGACCAACTTCAAACTCAAAGAAAAGAGAAGACCCAGTGGTTCTAAATCAGTTGCCAAACTGATCAATAATGTATTTGGAAAGAGGAGGAAATCTGTTTAGTAAAGACATTGAATCCTAGGGGATTTATTGTATCAAAGTGTGTTAGACCATGTGGTAATTGAATTTAGACTCCATAAGCAATTTAAAAAATACTTTCAGATGTATGAAATGATAGAACGTGAACTACAGCTGTAATTTCAAATATAGTGTCTGTGTTTCTGTTGACTGGATCTGGTCCACTCTGCTGCATGTACAACCTCTCACTTCTTGTAATAAATAGCACTCGCTGGCTCTTGGTGTATTGTTGTCTAGTTTGCCATGGACATCCTGCTTATGTAAGTTTATACAGCTACTGCCCCAAGGTTTATTTGCCTTTGTTTTCTATCGTATATTTTATTTTGCATGAAATGAATGATTTGTGAACTTTTTAATTTCATAGAAACATGTAGATTCATTTTTAAAATGTCTTTTCAATAATTTTATGAGTTACATGGTACTTTCCATATTTTACACATAAATTAAGGCTCAAGAGGTGATATTCTATGCCCATGAATAAATATTTTGTAGTTGGTCTGATAATGAAAAGGTCTGTCTTTTCTTTTATGCTATCTCTACAAGAGTAATCTTCACAGAAAATTATCATTTTTTTCATGTATTTATTTGTCTCTTATATTTCTTCCTCTGAGAAGTGTATATTCATTTCAAATGCCCATTTTTGGATTTGGGTCTTTAAATTTTCAGGTCCTAATGTTTTTTTAGTTCTTTATAAATTCTAGATATAGCACCTTTGTCTGATAGATTATTAGTTAAGATTTTTTTCGAATCTGTGGGTTGTCTTTTCACTCTGTTGGTAATCTCTTTTGCCATGCAGAAACTTCTCAATGGAAGGAGGTCTTAATTGCTGATTCTTTCAAATATTTCCCATGTCGTTTGATTCTTGTTCATGAAATGTTTGCCTACCTCTATATCTTCCACCTACTTTCTCTTCCAGGAGATACAGTGTTTCAGTTTTAATGTTTAGATCTTTAATCCATTTTGACTTTAGTTTAGTGTATGGTGATAAACCTGGGGATAAAAAAGATGTGGTGTTTTATACAATGGAGTATCACTCAGCTATAAAGAAAAAGAAACTTGAAGCCTTTGTAGGTAAGTGGTTGCAACTTAAAGCTATATTCATAAACCAGACCCACATGCATAAATATTGTGTTGTCTCACTAGTGTAAGAACTAAAAAGAAAGACAGATAGGGTAAACTGAACTGCATATATTGTAGGTTAATAATTAGCACTTGGGAGGTTGAACACAGGAGAATCACTGTGAGTCTGATCTGTGTAGTGAGACCTGGTAGACCCTGCACTAAATACAAAGAAAGAAAGAAAAAAAAAGAAACAGTATCTGTATGCCTGGATTTCCAGTGCTTTTTATTTTACTTTCACCTACTGAAACCCAAAGAAATGGTGTCCTGTCTGGAGTGCTGTCTCTTTCTGATACTGACTGGCTAGATAAATACACATAATCTACTCAGGTAGCCATGGTGAGGGAAGGTTCATATTGTGGATTGGCAAACTGTTGCCTTCTCTTCAAAGATAGGGACTGCTATCATAGCTTCGATACATAAGCATGGAGGTGGCCAAGAAAAAAAAAAGGAGAGGTTGATATCTGTTGTCTGGGTATTATGATTTAAATATGAAATAACCCTCCACCAAGCTTCAACATAAAGGCTTGGTCTCCAGTAAAACAATATCCAGAGGTGGGGCCTGGAGAGGTCATTGGATCAGGAAGACTGTAACTTCCTAGTTATCCACTAATGAGATCGTAAGCCCATGGTATTACTGGGATGTGATAGAGACAGGAGTTGGAGCCTAACAAAAGGCAATAGACCATGGAAGTGTGTCCTAGGATATCATATCTGATCTTCAGACCTCTCTCTGGGTCTCTCTCTCTCTCTCTCTCTCTCTCTCTCTCTCTCCTTACTGGGGATTATAGAATGAGCAGCTCTCTATATCATGCCTTTCTACTATGATGTTTCTTCCATACCACATGTGTAGAAACAGTAGGGCCAGGTGACTATGGACTGATTCTTCTGAAATGATGTACCAAATTTTTTTTTTCCTTCTCCAAGTTGCTTATCTCTGGCATTGGGCCAGAGTAATAGGAAGTTCACTAGCACATTAGGCCATCCTGTCTGTCTGTAAAGTGACTTACGCTTGGCTTTACCTTTTTGTGGGAATTAATGTGATGCACAAAGACCTGAGTATTGTATGACTTGCCTGATGGATGCACCCACGTACATGTTTTACAGACCCGCTGGTCACTGACCTTCAGGTATTACCTCTTACAGACTGGCTAAATAGCAAAACAAGTTATCAGTACACTACCTGATACCTTTCCCACCATACAAGAGAGACAACAATGTGTCCTTCTTGAATTTCTGCCTATTTGGATAAAACACTTTTGTTCATGAACTGCATTGTTATTTCTTTGCAGGTATAATAGACACTTTGCAGCAGTACAATAGACATTGTTTTTCTTTGACTGGTGTTAATATATTAAGATAAAGTGAGGAAAAATTCCTAAGAATTAGGAAAGAGTCAGGGATATGTAAATAAGAAAGGAACTGTTGTATGAAGCTATCCTAGCAAATTCAGTGATGAACTTTTTGTTCAACACTTTATATGCCTTATCTTAATTTTTATATCTCAATATTGACTACATAACTACATACATTTTATATCTGCTGTATGAACACAGATGTATGGGGATTATTGGATGAGGATACTATAAATTAGTGTAAGCAATTGTATTTTTGTTTGTTTGTTTGTATCCTTCTGGGTAGTCTTTATTTTTATTTCGTCTGCATTATTGGAGTGTGTTTTGCAGTTGATTAAAATTTATTTTCAGGGCCAGACAGATAGTTCAGTGGATTAAAGCACCTGCTTAGTCAGATGCAAGGACCGGGTTTGCTCCTTGGCATGCCATGCCAGCCCTGCCTCTAGGGCATGCTGAGAGGGCTATTGAGACTGTGCATGGTGGCTCATGCCTATAATCCCAGCACTTGGGAGGACAAAAACAGGAGTATTACTATGATTCCAAGCTGTGTAGTGAGACCCTGTAAACTCTGTATTAACACATACAAAAATTATTTGAAACCTTTAACATATTTCCCCATTTAAGTATGAGAACTCTGATGTCCAAATGATATTTAAATCCTTTCATAGCATAACTTATGCATTTTTCTATGATAAACACGAGCATGCCATTTTTGTGTTAAAGATATTACTTTTATTTCTGTGCATTTTACATTTTTATTAATCATACTCATGTTTATCTAGCTGACCTGGGAAGACACATTGTTACAATGAGTCATTGGAATGTAGCAATAGGAATAAGAATTTAAATTTTCAAAGTATTTTCATAGTAACTTTAGACATAGTTGATTATTTCCCAGAGTGATATTTAAAAATACTGTGTTAAGTCTTCCTTTGATGTGACAGTTTCATACATATGTACTCACACTGTGTTACTTCTCAAATCAAATATTGTTACATTCCCAACCCCTCATTTCCTGGCCTTGCTAATGGATCTATCTTACTGACTGTCTCTTAAAAAGATGAATGAAGTAAAAGTGGTGTGATGACTTACAAAGCTTGGTTAGAGAAGGAAATAGAGAGCCAATGATTTTCTTTTTTTTTTTTTCAATGATTTTCTTTCTGCTTTGGGACTCTGCTTTGAGTGGAGTCAGTAGGGATAGACCTGGTTGCCCTTCAGCCCCCATACTGGAGATACCATGCAGAATGAGTAACCACAGTACACCACCAGCAGGTACATGAACACTGATTCAGGAAATTTTGAATTCAAACCACTGGGTTACCTTGCCAGGTGGAGCAGAGAGCAGAAGCCCCCATGGGGTGCTGACCCAACTACAGATTTGTGATCATAATACAATTCAGTGCTATGCTGAAATTATTGTATAACAGTAAAATTATTAGATGATATTATCCATTAAAATTCTCAGCAACCCAGTCAATATGAAACATTTGGCCTTCATAGAAATCCTCCAACCAGATTAAATGTTGTCCAAGACATGTACTTATTCCAAGACCAGTTTTATGGAGGATGGGTAATTCATTTGCAAAGAACTTTGTCATACTTTAAAAATAACAAGTTGCATTTTTCCAAAAGTGAGAAAAAAAGCCTACCTATGGAAAAACAAATTCATCAACATTAGCACATAGAATGTTGCAGCTTGAGGGTGGAAAATATGTATATAAATCTCAGAGGAAGTTAAGTCGCATCACTAGGCCTGGAATTGCCTGTGCTGCTTCTAGTAAAAAAAGACACTGTCATTCAGTTTGGATGAGCTCCAGTGAGATGACACAAAATGAGGGGCAACAGCTGAGGAAGGGACGCCCACAGGGAGGGGTCTTCAAAGTGGCTTTGATTTAATACAAGGCATGCACTATTAATAAAGAGGTTGAATGATACCTGTATGTTTTATAGGTTTATAAATTGGCTGTAGTAAAATATTTTACATCTTAGATCACTAGGTATTGTTTCAGCTTATTATGGGAGATATCTATCTAGAGTTGACTGAATTGTATTAATCTGAACCTAGTTTAATGATGCCTTAACATTTTTATGGGGGAATTTAATGTTTGCAATATCCATGTTCCTTATTTGAAAGCGTGACTTATAGGTTTCTCATCTTCCTTAAATTATAAAATCCTTCAGCTAATAAAGGAAAATGATTATAGTTTGCAAAAAAAGGCAAAGTCATTTAACAATCCATATAACTGTCTATTGTAGCGCTTTGCATAATAATTGTAATTTAGCTATTAGGAATTCTAAAGGCAGTTATCAGTCATACTCTACAATTCTGGGGGAACCAGGCAAAGCCCAAATTATTTAAAATATTTTAAATTCCCAAAGGATAAAAGAGCACCATATATTTGAAATATATTCTATAGTGACAAGATATTATTTCATAGGAAAAGGAAAGATCGTCATAATGGTCAAACATATAAAGTATCAAAGAGAATATTTTTCTTCCTCTTGATTACAGGTACAACACAAGTTTATTTGTAATAGCAGAAATATGAGTTAATTATAAGGAGAGCATGTTAGGAGTAAGAAATAGCAGTGGTGGTGTAGACTTTGACCATCATGTTGGCAATGCTGGAGCAACGAAGGCATAATAAATAAATAGAGAAAAGATTGAAGAAGAGAAAGAAGTGGCAGTACTTGCGGTTGCATGAAAGCAGAACCACTAGTTATCAGTAAGGTTTTAATGTTACTTTATAGTACTCAAAGTGAATATTTAGCAGCCAGGCAAATGAAATCTCTTTAAAAATACTTCTGTACAATTGGACAAAAATTTGCCAGCCATCAATTTACTTTTTTTTTTTTTTTTTTTTTG